ACTTTCTCGTGAGACCTTGAAAGGTTCACTATGAAATAAAGGTATGTCCTACCTTGTGCTCTGTTGTCTCATATTTTCAATGGGTTCTTTGATGTAGTCTCCTTTTGGTTTTGAAACATACTTGAATTGGAACTATATTTCTGTGGTGCTTTTCTGAGGAATCATATGTGTGTATTTCAGGGTATCAAATCTTGGCAAAAAAGAAACTTGCCATTGAATTCAGAAAGTTGGATCAACTTGAGCACTTAGATTAGATGTTCTTTCGAGCTGAAGTTTGAATTTAGGTGCAAATTTCCCTGCAATCAAAATCCCTTCTCCAAACATCATGCTAAATCTGAAAGCACCTTTTTTGAATTTCTCTTGGATTATAAGTGGGTAGATCTATGGTAAGTTCTACAGAGGTTTGTGGATGTTGTTGGTTAGACAATGATGCTATACACCATCCACAATGAAAGAACATGAGTGAATCAAGATTAATGGATCTTTTTTTGCTAGTGTCTATAATTAAGCCAGCTGGTTGACTACATAGTCTGATAGTTTTGGTTGAGGTTCATCTGGGGATTTCATCATTGGAGGGTTTGAGGTTGATTTTCGGTCGATGACGTGATGGGCTGATTATGTCAGCAACTATTCCTCCCGGCTCCCCCAGCGGAGATATTTTACAGCCGATCTGCGCCGACCAGGTTCCACTAAGCCAATCTCAGACTTTTGGTCAACAGCAAAAACCAAAAACTCAAGGAAACAGGACAAACAAACCAAGGTGAGTCTCACACAAACTAGCGAAGGAAAGAGGAGAACTGACCAGAAAACTGGATATACAGTAACTTGAAAACCCGAAGTAAGATGTCGTGAGTTGGATTCATTTTTTCTTGGCCCATTCTCAGCCCTCAGGGCTTCAAAGACAGAGGCTGAGCATGCTTTCTGGATTGATTATGACGGACGGGATCGAGCAGATTGTCATCCAAGAAAACGATCACCGACCTTCCCGCCGGAGAGATCAAAGGCAAGCGAGTATTGATCCGAGTGGACTTCAACGTCCCACAGGATAAAACCTCGGGCCAGATCACCAACAATGCCCGGATCGTCGCTGCCCTCCCCACGATCAAATACGTCATCGAGAACGGCTCCAAGGCCGTCATCCTTTGCAGCCACCTCGGCCGTCCTAATGGCGCTCCTAACGCTAAATATACCCTTCGTCCCGTCGCAGAGGAGCTCCAAAAAGTCTTGGGAAAAGATGTCACGTCAGTCACTTCCACTCTATAGTTCCCTTGTCAGTAGAGACTAAATCTGGTTGATTCCTCTAGTTTTATCGACGAATGTGTTGGTCCCAAGGTAGAGGAGACAGTCGCAGGATGCAAAGAAGGGCAAGTATTTCTACTTGAGAATCTGCGATTTCACTTAGAAGAGGAAGGATCGAAGAAGGATGAAGAGACGGGAGAGAAGACGAAGGCGAGTGCAGAAGCGGTGGAAGGCTTCCGAGCCTCATTGACCAAGCTTGCCGACCTATACATCAACGATGCCTTCGGGACTGCCCATCGGGCCCACTCCTCGGTCGTCGGATTCAAGGGCGAGCCTCGACTCGCCGGCTTCTTGATGAAGAAAGAACTCGAGTTCTTCAGCAAGGTCTTGGAGAAACCCGAGCCGCCTTTCTTGGCCATCCTTGGTGGCGCTAAGATCTCCGACAAGATCCAATTGATCGAGAATTTACTCGATAAGGTAAGATAACCAGCACTTTTTCTTTTTTCTGAACAGAAGAAGAATATTTCTTGATTTTCTGAACAATCATTGCACATATGCATGTATGTATGTATGTAGGTGAACAAGTTGATAGTGTGTGGAGGAATGGCCTTCACATTCAAGAAGATGCTAGACTCGGTGGAGATTGGGAACTCTCTGTTTGACGAAGATGGGAGCAAGAAGGTGCACGACTTGGTGGCCAAGGCGAAGAAGAACAATGTCGAGTTGATCTTCCCGATCGACTATATCTGTGGCGACAAGTTCGCCAAGGATGCGGCACGCAAGACGGTGACTGATGCCGAAGGGGTGCCCAAGGGATGGATGGGTCTGGATGCTGGCCCAGCCAGTCGAGAGGAATTCAAGAAAGCTATCCTCAGTTCGTCCCCCTTCTTTTCATATTATATAGCGAACTTGTCACTTGATCTTTTGGTTGACATCCCCCCGAACCCCTTTTCCCCAGGTTCCAAGACCATCCTCTGGAACGGCCCCGCCGGTGTCTTCGAATTCGATAATTTCGCCGAAGGCTCCAAGGCCATGTTAGACGCCTGTATCGAGGCCTGTCAAAAGGGCGCTACCGTGATCGTCGGAGGCGGTGATACTGCCACCGTCTGTAAGAGTAAGCAAGCCCTCTTTTTGTCTTCAAAAATCATAAATTTATTGTTGATTGTTTCTGTTATTCAATCACTTTTTCACAGAGTATGGTGCCGAGGACAAGTTGTCTCATGTCAGCACTGGAGGAGGCGCCAGTCTTGAGCTGCTAGAAGGAAAGGTACATGAATTTTTTCCCTTTTTTTCCCTTTTTTTCTCATTAATCATTTATTCAACCACTAACATATCACACTCTTTTTTGGATTTTCTTGTATTATCCTAGAACCTACCGGGGGTCGCTAATTTGAGTGAGAAGAAATAGATCATTTATTTTTGTCCTCACTTTTACCCCCCCCCCCTTTCTCTCTCTTTATGCTTCTTCGTCGAATATCCAATGCTTTTAAAGGTTCTCCGGGACCACCACCATCACCACAAAATAGATGTATAAAAACAGTAACCATAAAAAAAATGAGACCGCGTTCTGCACGACGGTCCAAGTGTGTTTTTTTGTATTAACGGTCTTCTCGTGAAGCTCAAATGAAAAGAAAAAGAAACCAGTATACATATTATACACAATACCGTCTGTCCCTCCCCCTCCCTCTCAACGTTTCATGTTCACCCGTGATGAAAGAAATGCACAAACGCCAATCTTGAGAGTTCTTTTTAATCCTTTTTTTTTCTTTTCGGTTATTTGTTTTGTTTGGGACATGTGGTGTATCTGCAGGCTCAACCGGCCCCCAATTCCGATCGAGTGTCTTGTGATATCTCGTTACCGATCCACTCTTTGTAAGATAACGGTCACAACAAAAAAAAAAAGCCGAGCGATTGCAGGATGTGTGGGTGATGGTTTGAAGAGGGGATGGTTTTCTAAATTTATCTGTTGCTTTATGAGACATACATAGCCTTTTTTGTGATCATGCTGCTATGTAGAACTGCACTGTCAGAGGTATTTCATGTACAGTAAGATGAGTCATTAAGCAGTCTTGAGCACTTTTGGATTATCGAGATGCCAATCTAACACATTCAATGCATTGAGTCTTGCTTCCAGTGGTGTATAATATGCAGGGTCCAAGGATGATGACAATGACAACAAAATTCAAAAATGCGAAAGTTGAGAGATCAGAAAGGATCTGAAAGGATGTGAAGGCTTGCAGTTGGTTCCCCGCAATTGGGGGCTACACTAGCAGTTCTGCATGAGCGTAGACCCCTCCCCCGGCCGGCTGAGATGCATAAACGCGCCTGGGTATGGCGCGGTGCTGTGTTGGGACGCGTCTGGGATTACACAGCACTTCGGAGATCCCACTCTTGGCTCGATGGGAACGACCACCCTCAATCCAAGCACCCTGCGACTTCAGACGAGGAAGAGCTACTGGACGCGAATCAATCGGTGAACTCAAAGACACGCTGTCTGTCCGGGAAAGGCGAAGATACACATTATGGCCGGAGGTGTTGAGTGAAATCTTCTGGATCTTGCGACCTGGCTTTTGCTGATAGTGATACATGCTTCTCCATCTGATTCTATCCAACACCTTCCTTACTTTCAACAGAGAGAACTGACGATATATGCGATTGACGTGTCTCCATCGATGTCCGAGAAAAGGACGGCCGATGATCCGAGTACAGGCGCAACCACTTCGGTGACCAACTTGGAATATGGCTTGGAGGTGGTCAAGCATCAAGTGGCAAACATGGTACATACTATATTCAGACATCATCCGGCGATTTCATCGAACCAATAATCTGACTCAGAGATACCCATTATCATCGACCGTAGCTTCTCGCAGGCTTGAAGACTGTCCACTGTGGAGTCGTCCTCTTCGGAACAGAACGTGGGCGGAATGATATTTATAACTATCTCGGTCACATCATTCATCGCAACTTATCTATTGCTCATCGGTTGAATAGGCACCGACAACTCGTTGGCCAGCAGTGGATGTCAGTCGTCGTCCGTTTCCAGAGTCTTGGCTCGAATTTTTGGCTGATATCATCCTCTCAGATGAATACATTTGGGAGTATGTCCGTCCAGGACAGCCTAGTGCTATCACCCTTTTGCACATCAATAAAATCGAGCAGCATTTGACTACATCGGAGAAACCATTCAAAGGAGACCGTACGTGAAAGAAAAAAATGATTCCTAGATCTTTGAATATCCCGTTTGTTGGATATACATAGGGCCCTGACTTTCAATTTCCTCTTATTTTCTGGCCTCGTTTCTGTTTGACACGATCCTTCTTATTCACCAGTCTTATCAGCCATCATTCTATGTAATCATCATATGGGCGAGACTCTAGCGGCCAAGAAGTGGACTCGAAAAATCGTCTTGGTCACTGATGCTCAAACCGAAACTGATTGGAGCGGATGGAAGGACCAAAGAGACAAAATGAGGGCGGATAATGTCACACTGGAGGTTGTGTAAGTCGCTGCCTCCGAGCTGTCTACGCTTCTCACGCTTGTCGATTATGTGGTATCTGATTCGTCAAACCGGTTGGTTGTGTTTGATTTCGGCGACAACAGGGGCCTTGACTTTGACGATCCGGAAGTGGGTTATATCCAGCCCAACAAGCCAGAAATCAAGGCCAGTCATCAAGTTTCTGCTGGCCCGTCATCTCACACGTTTCTGATACCACCACAACTTATCTTACCTTAAAACAGGCCACCAATGAAAAAATACTTCACAAGCTATGCAGAAGTCTTGCAAATGCCTCTAGCTGTTCGACCGCCCTGGTAGCCGTGATGAACGCCCAGTCTCCCCAGCCACGTGTCGTGGGTAGCACCCCGGCTCCAGTGTTACTGTCTCTGGGCTATCCTGACCAAGAGACTGCAGCAGCGGAAGGCTATGATCCGCAAGAGAGCCTGTTCATGCGGTGTGAATTGCGGAAATGCACGTCGATCATCAGGCCGATGTCAGCCAAGAAGATGAGCAAGCTTGGGATTTCGAGCGAGCTTGACCGGAGGCGGAAGGACTTGGATGCCATGGATGCAGGCGCAGAGATGCAACAATACCTGCCCGCGGACAAGGACAATCAAGATACGGATGGCATCCTTGGTCTGTTACAGGTCAATCGGAAGCATGTCTACGCCGCCAAGAAGAGCAAAGATCCGCCCGCCAAAGCCGCTGGCCCCGACGACGACAGCGATGACCTTGGCTTGGAAGACTCCAGTGATGAAGAGCCAGGACTGCTCGAAGCCCGAGAGGTTGATCGAGAAAACTTGGCCAAAGCGTACAAATATGGAGCCAGTTTGGTCGTTGTCGACAAAGAGGACGAAGCAGCGATCCGGCAATCTTTCTCGGAATGTCTGGAAATCAGAGGGTTTGTAAACCTCAAGAACGTGAGCATACGTCTGAGACTAAATGGACCATCAACTCACACCGCTTCAGACGAAAGCTAAGCGAAAAGTCTGGAGGTTATTGTTTTTTCAGATCCCTCGCCATCACCTCTTGAACAACGTTTATTACCTCTATCCTATCGCAACTGATTATGGTAGTCAGATCAGCTTCTCGGCAATTGTCCGGGCGATGAACGACGCGAATCGGGCGGCTCTGGCCCGATACGTTGGCCGATCGGTTGTGGCGGAGCCTAAGTTAGTGATTCTGATTCCGGTGGTCGAGCCGACGATCCGGTATTTCCTATTCATCCAGGTAATATCCGCTTACAAGTCGCAGACATCAAAATCCAGAGCAATCAATCAAAGCTGATCTCAAGGATCATGCTAGGTCCCGTTCGTAGACGACTTGCGACAGTATGCCTTTCCTCCTCTGCCGACGGGGCCGATCCTGGGCAACAGAACAGTGAGAACACAGTATGTGCCGACAGATGAGATGCAAGACGCAATGGATGAACTAGTAGACAAGATGGATCTATCAGCGGAAGAAGGGTCGAAGACAGCGGAGTTGAGCGTTATCTTTAGACTAGCCCACGCCTGGTCGATGTCCTTGTGAGAGCAAGTAATACGTACTAACACGAGCTTTCGGTTTGG